AAAAAAAAAAAAAAAAAAAAAAAAAAAAAAAAAAAAAAAAATCTTAAAAAAAGTAAAAAAAAAAAATCTTAAAAAAAAAAAAAGATTTTATTCACTTTTTTTTTTTTTAATCTACGTGCATGTATCTATGTGAATGCAGGCCACATGCACGTGGGTGCCTGCAGAGGGCAGCAGGAGTCACAGCTCCTGCAGCTGGAGTTACAGGTGGCTTGGGAGCTGCCTGACCTGAGTTCAGGAAGAGAACTCAGGTCCTCTGTAAGAGCGGTGAGCCTCCTAAGTCATCTCTCCAACCCAAAAAAATCCTTAATACAATCCCAAGAACTGTAAACTTTCTACAGAATCCTACTTAAGAATCCTCAGCCTGAGCTGGAGAGATGGCTTATAAGTTAAGAGCAGAGAACAAGGCCTGGAGAGATGGCTCGGAGGGTAAGAGCACTGGCTGCTTTTCCAGAGGTCCTGAGTTCAATTCTCAGCACCACATGGTGGCTCACAACCATTTATGAGATCTGGTGCCCTCTTCTGGTGGGCAGGTATACATGCAGTCAGAACACTGTATAAATAATAAATAAATAAATCTTAAAGGAAAAAAAAAAAAAAAGAGCAGCGGACAAGAGTTCAATTCCCAGCACCAATGTTGGGTGACTCCCAACTGCCTCTAACTCCAACCCCAGGGGATCTGCTGCCTCAGGCCTCCACCACTGCTTACACTCGCTCACACATATCAACACACGTTCTATTTAAAAAACAATAAAGTAAACCTTCAAAAGAATGCTTAGCTCTAGGAACTCCCCTACTTCACTCTGAGAACAACAATGTCTTTCCTGTGCTCAAGACTTCATCAGGGCACCTGGGAGGACACACAGGCTAACCCCCAGGTCAGAAGGGATCAGGACAGAGGGGTTGGCAGTTACTACATACCAAACCCGAGTTTCACCTGGCATCCCAGTCTTCACTGTAACTTTGAAAGCTGTCTTGTTTCAGTAACAGTGTCCTTTGGGAATTCTTTCCAAAGGAGGCCAGGGAGATGGCTCGGTGGGTTAGGGTTAGAAATAACTTTTCAAATAATGATGGCGGTTTGCAGGTGTGCACTACCCCACATGGCAGTTAATTTTTTTAATAGTACTTATGACGCTAGAAATAAAACCTAGGGTCTCGGTGTGGCAGGCCTGGTAGTCCGTTTTCCTGTACCTTTACCAGCACTGTTGATTACTAGATTTGAATTTTACCAATCTGATGGTAATTTTTACCAGTGCTGGGCCCGGTGAGACACATCTGTAGTTCCAGAACTTGATGAGGGCGAGATGGATGATGAGGGAGTCACAGCCTAACCAAAATCCACACAAAGATTATCTGGGATGGAGATGTGCGGGCATGGAAGTGCTTTCCTAGTACGATCAAAGATCTTAGTTCAAATAAATAGCTAAAGCATCTTTATAGAGATACATATAAAGACAGATCTAGGGGCTGGAGAGATGGCTCAGTGGTTAAGAGCACTGTCTGTTCTTCCAGAGGACCTGAGTTCAATTCCCAGCAGCTGTGCATGGTGGCTCACAGCCAGCTATAATGTGATCTGGTGCCCTCTGCTGGTATGCACAAAGACAGTATACTCATATACATAAAAAAAAAAAAAAAAAAGGAAAACGGATTTTTTTTTTTTTTTTTTTTTTTTTGAGATAGGGTTTCTCTGTGTAGCCTTGGCTCTCCTAGACTCACTTTGTAGACCAGGCTGGCCTCGAACTCAGAGATCCACCTGCCTCTGCCTTCCAAGTGCTGAGATTACATGTGTGCACCACCACCACCTGACTTTTACTTATACATAATAATAATATATAACTATATAATACATTTGAATTTTTTTTTCTGGGGTTGGTGAGATGATTCCTCAGGTAAAGGTGCTTATCATCATACCTAATGCCTGAGTTTGATCCCTGGGTCCCACATATTAGGAGGGAACAAATCAATTAGTAAATATAACTTAAAATTTAAGAAAATATATAAACTAAAGGGGTTGGAGAGATGGCTCATTGGTTACGAACACATCCTTTTTGTTTGTTTGGTTTTTCTGAGACAGTGTTTCTCTGTAGCCTGGCTGTCCTGGAACGCTGTAGACCAGGCTGGCCTTAAACTCACAGAGATCCGCCTGCCTCTGCCTCTGCGTCTGGAGCACTGGGATCAAAGTCGTGCACAGCCAACACCACCTGGCTAAGAATATTTATTCTTGCAGAGGACCCAGGTTCAATTCCCAAGACCTGCACTGCAGTTCACGACTATCCTTGATTCCAGTGCTTGGATTAAAGATGTGCTCTACCACATCTAAAATGTGTGTGTGTGTGTGTGTGTGTGTGTGTGTGTGTGTGTGTGTGTATGCATGTGCACCTAGAGGAGGGCACTGGATCCCCTAGACCGGAACTGACAGGCAGTCGTGAGACTCAATATGGGTACTAGGAAACAAATCCAGCCTACCTTATTTTTCGGGACAGGAACTCCCACTGAATCTGGAACTCACCAATTTGGCCAGGCTGGCTGGCCTGCAAGTTCCCAGGATTCACTTGTCTTTGATCTACTCCAGAGCTGGGCTTACACGCTTGCACACACTCTGCCAGAGTGCAGCTTTTTCCATGGGTTCTGAGGATCTGAACTTGGGCTCTCAGGATTACCAAGCAAGCGCTTTGCTGGCTGAACCCCCCCCCCCCCCGTCAGGTTCTTCCTGGGCACGCTGCCTTTAAGGTTCACTTTCCCCTTGCTTATAAACTGTCCTCTTACTAGTTGATAAGGGGCTTGTTCTGTTTGCTTTTTGGTTTTCTGAGATGGGGCTTCGCTAGGCAGTGCAGCATTAGCTCCCAGTCCTCCTGTGTCAGTCTCCTGAGTGCTGAGATTACAGGCTGGAGCCACACACTGAAGTTTCCGCTATGCCTGAGTATCTTAATCAAGAACTCTACGTACTCTGCAAATACATTCCCATCTGAGTTCCAGCCCTGGCCTTACTTATCTACAATGCTGGGAATCAAACCCAAGGCCTCAGCCAGGCACTCTATCACTGAGCCACACCCGCTAGCACCAGCTGGTGGGTACATTTCAGGATTCCAGACAGTTCCAATGATCCACGTGGCTAACTCTGGGGGGCTGAGACCACCTTTAGCTGTTGAAAGGCCAGAAAGATCAACTGACTTGTTCCAAAACCTTGTAGCTGATAAATGGCATAGCTGGAATCTGAACATAGGTCTCTCTGATCTCTTTGGGAAGGAATAGCGCGTCTCCTGAAAAATCTATTGTTTCACTTGCCAAGTGTGGGAAAAGACCCCAGCTAGGTAAAAGCCCCCCCCCCCCAAATATTACCGGAGCAGTGTATCCTTGCCCAGGCTCATGCAGAGCTGATTGCAGGAAACGACAAGACTTGTGATGCGCTCTGTGGGAGTGAAGTCAATCCGCTGCTTCGTGAAGATAGGCACTTCCTTCTCCAGCTGGGCATTTACATACCCTAGAGGTTTGGAATGAAGAAAACAAACTGGCATCCAGGGAAGGGGGTGGGGCAGCCCAGAAAACCAGAAGAAGCAACAGCGTTTTCTGACACTCTCCTATTTCCCAAGTATACGCCTATCCACTGGATCTTGGCTAATGAAGAGTTCAACATTAACCAGCTTTCTGGTTGTCTTTACAGGGAGGGCCCTTCTTACACTTGAGACAGTACTGAGGAACTGGTTCCCTGAACCTGAGATGAGGCCGGATTATGAGGTGCTTGTTCCTAGTGGTAACAGAGGGTGGTTTGGAAAGGTGTTTTGGCCATTCTCCCTATTGGTCTTTGGCCCACCAATCCCAAGAGAACCACCCTTCCTCCCCATCCACACAGTATCGCTCGCTGAGTCTATACATAGGGAGTTCTGGGGACCCGGGCCCACCAGTGCTGTCCATAGACTGCAGCTCTAGTCACCCGCAATCTTAGCACAGTACTGGGCCACCTCCACACAACTCTCCTTAAAAATGACATCTGCACTCTAACCTGCAGCCAGCTTTTACCCAGGCCCAATCACCTCCAGCTTCCCTGTTCACTGACAAAATTCCCTTTTAGGATTGAACCTCCTTCCCCTTGCACATTCACGTTCCACCCTCCCTGCTAGGTGGGGGAAAAAAAATACGGAACCAGACATGAAGAGAAGCGTGGACCCTGTCTGCAGTTCTCCCAGGAACCAAACTGCAGCCTGGTAGGCAAGTACTTCCTTATCGGAGCCTCAGTTCCCTCTTTTGAAGGACCTTAGTGGTAGGGCTAGATTACTATGGCTCTTCCAGACTTCGACCACTGACAAGCTAGGGACTAAGAGAGGCCTGAGGCTTCGCTCTTAAACGCACGCCGCAAGCTCTTGAGCCGCCCACCCCCGCAGACCGTAACAGAACCGAAGAGAGCAGCGGCGGCCTCTTCTAACTTACCAGAATGGGGGATGCCCACGCTAGGGCAACCGCTCTGCAAGACGGCCGGGCGGGACAACGAGTCCTCATACTCATCCAGGATGGACGCCATGGTGCTCGACCTCCGGGCCTTTGGTCTGGGGCCTGGGGGGGGGGGGGGGTCACAACTGGGACCCCTGTCGTCCTGGCTTTGCAAGCTGTGATGCCCCAGCGCCTGACAGATCCCTGAGAACCCTTTACAAATTATGAGGCCCTTCTCGCTGTCGCTGCGTAGGACGAGACGATCGGGGAGAACCCGGTAGAAGGTGGCGCAGCTGTGCGCCCCAGCTCCAGTCCCTAGAGACTACAGGCTGCCCTTAGCAGATCCCAGGTGATCACAACCTCGCCCAGGCAGCTCAGCTGACTCCCTCCCCCCGCGGCGCGTGCTTATGACGTGCTTCCGGGTTCTCAGAAGCGAGCAGTGACTGGAGCCCAGAGCATTGGAGCCTCCGCTAAGAGGCGTTGTTGGAGACTCGGGGCGGCGGGGGCGGAGCCCGAGCGGGCGACCCTGCTGCAGTTCCACATCTTGACGCTAGGGGGCAGCCCGGGACTTGTCTGGCGTCCGGCGTCAGGCTGGCGTGGATCCTAGGCTTCCTGAAGCCCAGGCTGGGCTCCCTCTCCTCCCTCGGATTGTCGCTTAAAGGCCACCTGTGCTGCAGACGCAGCACCACTTCCTGTTTCTCAGTCGAATTGCTGCCTCTGTCCACCTTGACAAGCATGGGCAGAACAGTTTTAGTTTCCCTTCCTTCATCCCTAGGGGCCCACCAGCTTCCAGAGGAAGCAGCTGGATGGGTCGGTACAAAACAAACAAACAACAACAAAAAAAACCTGAATGTTTTTTTCCCCTATCACTTCAAAAAGAAAATCACACAAAACGTAATCTCCAGCATTAGGAAAACTGAGGCAGGAGAGTTACTTAGGGCCACAAGATGAGACCTCAGAAAACAAAGCAAGCAAGAAAGAAATTGACAAAGGCAGCATAGGTCATGGTAAAGGCGTGTGCCAGGTAATGTAAGCCGCCTCACGGTGGCTCCTAAGTGTAGGGAGAGAGGCAGGGGTCACTAGGAAAAGTGAAGCATAGCTGTGGGGGTGCCAGGCTGCTTTCGGGCACTCAACCAATCTACTGAGGTTGACTGCACTTGTCTAGCACGTGGAAAGCCTTAGGTTCAAGCCCTAGTATCAGAAAAAGCAAAGAAAAAGGCATTGTACATAGTCATCAGGAAAATCAAAGCGAAACCCATGAACCATGTGACACTTGGGGGTGAAGAGGAGAGAGAAAGGCGGTGGAGGAAGAGGAGCCGGCTTCAGGCAGACTGTGGAAGCTGTTGCCTGGACCACTGGAAGATTTAGTTGGGGATGGGCTCTGATGTCGGTACTAGAAAGGTGTCAGGTGTTTGAGCAGGACGTGAGACCAGGCAAAGGACAAGGGGACATGAGGCAGACGACAGGCCATAGGTACCCAACCACGAGAAAGAGAGGGCTGAGTGATGGGAGGATAACTCAGAAGAAGGCCTCATAGACTTGGCGACAGGCTAGATGTGGCAGAGGAAGGAGGGGTGTAGGACCAGCTGGAGACCTGGCAGGTAGTGGCACTGACACTTGGGGAGAGGGAGGGGGAGCCGAGTGAGAGGAGGTGGAGGTCACATGACTGAGCTCAGCTTTAAGAGTTTGCTCAATCGGCAACTTACTGGGGAAGCCCCTGCAGTACCGGTCACATGCTCCAGGGCAGCCACCAATAACTCACTAGTAAAAGCTTATTAGACATTTGCATGAGCAAACACTACATTCATAAAATGAGATCTATCTATCTATCTATCTATCTATCTATCTATCTATCTCTGTTAATTTTCTGAGACAGGGTGTCTCTGTATAGCTCTGGATGTCCTGGAACTCACTCTGTAGACCAGGCTGGCCTCCAACTCAGAGATCCACCTGCCTCTGCCTCCTGAGTGCTGGGATTAAAGGTGTGCACCACCACCGGGCCAGAGAAAATTCTCTTAACAGCATGCTGAGTACAATCAGATGTTTTAAAAAAAATCACTCTGTGCTGAGTTTGTGCTTAGAAAGGTCACTACTATCTAATAGCAGATTGACTGTATTCAGATCCAGACCAAAAGGATCAAATTCAATGCCACACAAATACCGAATGAATGACGCACTACAGGCCTTATCCTCAGCCCTAGATTTCCTGTTTGAAAGAGTTTAGACTTTGATGAAAGTGGAGGCTGGGGTGTAGCTTACTTGGCAGAGGGCTGGTCTAGCTTCATAGGATTAGACCCTCAGCACATCGTAAAAGTAGGTGTGGGACTGTAGTCCCAGCAGTCAGAGGTGGGGACTTGAGGGTTAGAAGCTCAAGGTCAAAATTTAAGAGAGAGTGAGAACATGTATGTTTTGGCGGCACACATACTATCCTAAGAGACTGAAACAATATAGGGAAGATTAGCATGGTGCTGTGCAAGGATGATTTGCAAACTCCTGAGGCAGTCCGTACTAAAAACAGAAAGAGAAAGAAGAAAGAGTATTATTATATATTTTATATATAATTAATAATTTTATATATAATTAAATAATAATATAATTACATATATTATATTTTATACATTATACACACATATACATACACATACACACACACACACACACACACATATATATATATATACACATATATATATATATATATATATATATTTATGCCAGTTGGTGCACACCATTAATCCTAGCACTGGAGAGGCAGGTATATCTCTGTGAGTTGAAGGCCAGCCTGCTCTACAGAGGGAGCCCCAGGACAGCCAGGACGGTTACACAGAGAAACCATGTCTCGAAAACAAACAAAAAAGAAAGAGAGAAGGAAAAAAATTTAAGAGAAAAAAAGTTAAAGTTTTTTTTTCTTGACTTCATAACAAAATAGAGGCCAGCCTGCGCTACATGACACCTTATTTTAAAAAAAAGAGGAGGCTAGGGAGATAGTTCAATGGGGAAAGTGCTGCCTGAGGAAAGATGAGAACCTGAGTTCAGATTCCCAGTAGCCACTTTAAAGCAGGTATCTGGCCAGGACACACTCAGGAGACAGAGGCAGGGTGATTAAAACAACAAAGTGGGCACCTGAAATCCCAGCACTGTGAGGTGAGAGACAGGTGGCTTCCCAGAGCTTGCTGGCCAATCTACCAATGAGCGAGCTCCGGGTTCGTTCGGTGCAAAATCTCATTTTAAAAATGAGGTAGAGGCAGGCAGGTCTTTATGAGTTTAAAGCCAGTCTGATCTACATAGTAAGGTTCAGGCCAGTTAGGGTTACGTATTGAGATCCTGTCTCAACACAGGATTGTTGAAACAAAGCAACAACAACAAAAAAACAGCAACAAGGAAACTAGAGAGATGGCTCAGTGGTTAAGAGAACTGGCTGCTCTTCCAAAGGACCTGGGTTCAATTCCCAGCACCCACATGGTAGTTCACTACTGTCTCTGTCTGTAACTCCAATTCCAGGGGGATCCCACACCCTCACACAGACATACATACAAGCAACACCAATCCACATAAAATAAATAAATCAAAAAGAAACAAAAAGTTCCCTGAGCTATAAGTGTAGATTCCTCACCTGTGTGAGGTCCTGAATTCAATTCTCAGCACTGAAAGCAGAGAAAAAACTGATAACAAAATTCCAACTAAATGTCAGACTGTTAATTAGCAAGTAGAGGGCAAAAGATAAACCAATTAATTGATTACCTTTGTGTAACCTGAAATTCTTTTTAATTTTTAAAATATACATTTTATAACCAGGTTGTAATGGCACACACTTTTAATCCCAGCACTCAAGGAGGAAGAGGCAGATGGATCTCTGTGAGTTTGAGGCCAGCCTGGTCTACAGAGTGAGTTCCAGGGCAGCCAAGGCTACACAAAGAAACCCTGTCTCAAAAAAATACAAACACCTTTTGGAAAGGTGCTGCATATTCTGTGCCAATGTATATTTAAAGTATCTGCAAAAGGAGGCTGAAAGATATCCCCTTCACTAGGCATGGTTCAGGCCTAAAAGAAGCTAGAGGGCCGGGATTTCAAGGACATCTCAACTACATAGTCAGTTTGAGAATAGCCCAATTCATAGCCCTGTATCAAACCTCTCCCTCCAACCAAAAAAATTAAACAGGACATACTTTTTTTTTTTTTTTAAGATTTATTTATTTATTATGTATACAATGTTCTGTCTGCATGTCTATCTGCACGCCAGAAGAGGGCACCAGATCTCATTATAGATGATTGTGAGCCACCATGTAGTTGCTGGGATTTGAACTCAGGACCTCTGGAAGGGCAGCTAATATCTTAACCTCAGAGCCGTCTCTCCACATGTCCTACTTCTTAACTGTAGGATGGGCTCCTCTACTGCGAGTGTTTAGAATAGGGCCCACACATAGGGTGCTCTGTAGAGTGGACTCTTGGCAGCTCCTTCTTGGTCAGGGCTGGATTTCTCAGAGATGTCAAGACTCTGCCTTAGAACGACTAAACAGATTTGTCAGGCAAAGTAACTTTCAGAGTGCTGTCTTCTGTGACCCAAAAGAAATTCTGGGTCCTGTGGGATTGTTCAACAGGTAAAGGGTAAAGGCACTGCCAAGCGGGATGACCCGAGTTGGATCCCTGGCATCCACCTGTCAGAAGGAGAGAACCATCTCCCACAGGTTGTCCTCTGGTTACCAGGTGCACACCGTGACACAGGCCACTCCTCCATGTACACAAGATAAATAAGTGTGGTTACATTTTTAGATTAATTTAATTTCAATGTGTAGGATTATCGTGTCCAGATGAACTCATGTGCACAGCTATCAGATCTTCCAGAAATGGCGTTACAGATGGTTGTGAACCACCGTGTGGGTGTTAGGTACAGTGAAGAAACACTGGACCAAAGTGAGACTGAAACCCAGCAAGGCAAACTCCAAATCCTGTAGCTCCATGTCATGTCAAAGGGCTTACTTGGCTCCATCCTTCTGGCTTTGCTGCCTACAACATAATTCTCCCTCTTAGGCTGATTCCACGACCTAGCAGTCTTGTTCTGTTGACTTCAATACAGGGTTTCTTTGTTTCTCTGTGTAGTAGCCCTGGCTGTGCTGGCCTCACTTTGTAGACCAGGCTGGCCTCTGCCTCCCAAGTGCTGCCACCGCACCCGGCCAGCAGGTCTCTTTTAACTCTGGCATGCCCAACATCTTGGAGTCTCCTGGACAGCCCAGGCTTCCTTTTTACAGCTTCATGCAATAGCTTTTCAGGGATAACCCACAGGGACTTCCCTGCTATACACCTGGCCTCAGCAGCGCCCCCTTTTCTCCTCTCTCCTTCATGACTCTAAAGCCAGAACTGCATGAACAACGCTCCCACATTCCACTG